CTGTAATTCCACTGCAGTCAACTAAGTGTGGTCCGTCAGGCCCTATAGCTGTGTGAAAGGGTGTAAAGACGTGACCAAGGTTGCTCCAAGGAGGTATAATAAGGATTGCAGGGATGAAATTAAAGTAAATAATGAGGTAATGCTGAATAGGGAATGCTCCCTAAGAGTGAGCGGCTGTAGACTAGTTTCCTATGCGAAGAGGTGAATACTCCAGCTGGGCATAGGAACTTTAACGCCCGACTGGAGAAAGCACTGGCTAGTGCTGTCTGAGAAATGATCCTACATTTGCCTGGAAGACCTTTTCCATGTCTGACTCCTGTGATTCACTGAAATGATCACAGTTCAATGCAGGTGTGACAGCAAATGCTTACTGCTGACCAATGATGTGTATGCTCTGGTTTTTAGGCCTCTAGCTGAAAAATGAGCAGGAGTGGGGCTGTGCATTGATGCTGTGAGCAGCAGCTCCTCCTGCATGACAGGAAAAGAAATGTTATGAATAGACACTTAGGGCTAGATTCACAAGGAGGATTTGGGTACAGCACTGCACAACTTAGGCGTGAGGTGTGGGCTCATGTCTGGTCTTAGGCATCTTGGTTCATGCCCACGAAGCGAAATGGAGGAGCCATAGGGTATGTACAGGTACAGTGAGGCAGCAGCTGAGGGGAAGAGGAGGGCTGAGGATCTAAATTTGGGACCTCTGTTCCTGAAATGGCAGTTAGGCACTGAAATTCCATCATAACTGTAGCCTGTAGTGGGATTTACAAAAATTGTTTAATGAGGTCATTGAAATCAATGGGAATTAAGCAGCTAACTGGATTAGCAGTTCTGAAAGTCCCACCAGAGTGTTTGCCTCTTTAGGAGCCTAAGTACCTTTGAAAAATGTGCCCCACCCGTGTAGCTTGGGAAAGCTGTGACCACACACAGGAAAAGGGTAAGGGGGCCCAAACCTGCTTATAGTCTAACAAGCAGCTGAAGTGTGTAAACAGCAATAACAAAGTGGAATCAATCAGGGAATAACTAGAGAGAGCAGGATGAAATTAAACTTTAGCTTGAAAAGAAGAGGGAGCTTGCCTTCCATAAGGAAAGCAAGGATTCCAAGGTCTGAGCAATGAGGCAAACCTGTGGCACACCTTCCCCACCCAGCTAAACACATCATTTGTCAAACTTACATTTTTCTACCAAGCATTTTGCAGGACTCAAGCAAGGCCTCTCTGCCTTCAGCCATCCAACCAATGGTGCATCTACACCAGAGCTGGGAGGAGTGGAAATTGGGGTGGGCCCCGACTTTTGGGTGGGAGGTCAATGACCGACCATGGTAGCTCAGCACTTGAGGGGGGGGGGGCAGAGGCCAAGGGCTGGCCCTGGGGGTAAGGGGCAGGACCAAAGGAAGCGCAGGACATGGGTGAGGCAACAGAACTGGGGCGTATAGCAGAGCCTGAAGCTGGGGTTCAGGGTGGGACTGGGGCATGGCACCGACTCTTACCACTCAGCAGGCACCAGAAGACAAGACTGCTGGGGCCCACAGGCTGCCCCTGTGGGGAGGGGGGTGGAACCCTGCTGGGGCTTATGCTCTGCCCATCCCGCCCAACCACGTCTTGGTGTCCATCTGCCCAGCGCTCCATGTCCCTTTGGCCTGCCTGTGCCACGGTGTCCGTCCTGCACCCCGCGCTGTTGCCCACGCCTTTTGTGCGGGGAACAGGTCTGGGCGGGGTGAGCATGGGGCCGGAGCAGGGCCAGGTGCCTAGGCACATTACTAGGTATGGGCAACACTACCCCCCCTCCCCGCCCCACTCAGAGTTGGGTGGGTCTAGATGCTATGCCCTTGGTGCTGCCCAGCTTGAGGAGACACGTGAGCTAGCATGTAAAAATAGTAGTGTGAACATGAAGGCACAGCTAGCAGCCAGAGCGCGCCATCCAAGCGAGGCGAATGGGCCTGTAGTCCAGCATAGCCTGTGCTATCACAGCCACACTAGTTTTAGGCAGTAGGTGCACAGCCATAGCCCCTGTAGGGCTACCCAAGCTGAGAGGCCCACCAGCTGTGCAGCGCTACCCCACAATCCAGCTCAGCTAATGCACCAAGCTTGCTCCAAGTGACGCACTAGTGGCTCAGGTCCCAAGCGTGTATCATGTTCGGCCAACGCTGATGGCGCAAGGCAGATTCCTTCACCATGGCATGAATGGCAGGCCTGGGGTTGACAAGGCCCAAACTGGGCTATGGGAGTGGGTGAGCACACAGCCAAGGTGTACCTGCCTCATGTAGGAGAGAGACGGGCCCTCAGTCCTGGGTTTGAAGCATTCATCGGGGGAGTCAGTGCCAGGAAGGAGAGGGCTTTAGGATGGCAAAGATGAAGATGGAAATTTGAGGTTTGGGTGTGACGCCAACTTGGCTAAGAGGCAGACAGGTGGCGAGGGGCAGAATTTGACAAGCAGATTTGGGAGCAATTAGAACTTTCTTTTTTGGGAGAGGGGGTGAGTAATAATGGGTGTGATAGAGGCAGAGCTGAAGCCTGAAGAGGTGGGGAACAGCGTCACCCCTTTTTTGTTGGTTATGCACAACCCGGCCTAAAATACCTCCCCCCACCGCCCCTTTTTTTTTAAATGCTAGAGCCTTACCTGCTATAGCTATTGGCTGGTCGGGCACAAAGGCATCTTTAAGAATGTTGGTGTTAGTGTGATCACGTTTGGCTCCAGCACAGGTGATGGAGAGGGCGTGTGTGACTGTGTATATTTTTATATATATATATATAAAAGCATGTGTGAGTGTAAATGGAAGGGGTGGAGGTGGGGGGAAAACAACAACAGGAGCAAGTTCTTTATAGCTCTTCCCTATCCCCTGCTCGCCAGTGGTTGGAGCATTGTCAGGGCTTCTTTAGCCAAAGGACACCTAGGGCGTCCCTGCCCTTTGTAAAACATGCTTATTTAGTAGATTACAATGTCTTCATTGTTGGGCTCAAGGCAGTTGCTGCTCAGAATACCAATCCCCAGGGGCACACAGGGCAGTCACCCCACTCAGGTGGAAATATCCCCATCTGGCTTTAAAGGCTTCAACCACACAGCCTTTTTTTTAGACCTGGGACCTTTCCTGCCATGACCACACACAACTGAGCTACGATAGGCCTTCATGTTCCAGCGAGCACAGAACTATCCTGCTGCAGCTACAAACCTGGGAAGCAAATGACATGTAGGAATCTTCAGGGAACCAGTAATAAACAGCTTGTCAAAGGCACTGTACGCTCTGAACTACATAAAAACTCATGCTCCTGTTTTGCACAGAACATCCATTTCAGCCCCTTAGCCATCTCCCACATTCCATGATTGGAAGGGAAGAGGTTTTGGGCCCATTGTAGATGAAGCACAAAAGCAATCACAATAAGGCATGTTCATTGTTAATGGTCCTGACTTCTCATTATAAGCAGGAACATCTGATTCATTGGCTTTGTTTCATCTCTTGGGGTCTCACAGTTTGGCAGGGGAATGGGGGGGGAGGGAGGTGACCTACCTGCAGTTCACCTATATGAATGATCTTGATTCTAGCACCAAAGGAATAAAATTGTGTAACCCTCAAGTTCCCCACTGTGATCAGACACAGTAGGCAAAGCGCTACCTGTGTGGCTGAGTGTCAGGTGGTATGTAAGTGTGCTATTCTGCTGTGGCCTACACCCACTGTTTGCAAATTGGATTGGTATGTAGTCTGTAAAGCCAGCTCATCCCCCAAACTCGAGAAAAGAAAGTTCTTTAATCACAATACTCATCTGGCACAAACTTTCTTGGGCCTGTGCTGGATTTCTACTCCACCTTTGTCCTCAGCCCTTCACAACCCACACTGGGCCCTATGGCTCTCTACCCCACCCTGTGTTCTGTTGCTCTTTGGCCCACACCCAACTTTCACAACCTGGAGCAGGGCCATTAACCTTCCCGCTGAGGTACACTCCCTACACTAACATCCCCAACACTACAGCCAGGACTTATGCAGCAGAGGAGGTGAGTAGGCTTTAGAGCACATTGCATGAGCTTGCCCCATATGCTGCTTGCAT